AGCAAGTACCTCCTGCATATCGCTGTCCATCTGCTGATCGCGGCGCTGTGCGGCAGCGTCCTGCGCGGTGCGGTGGATGATGTGAAGGTCTTCCGGCGTCAGCTCCCACGGCAGGCTCATCTGCACCGGACCTCCCGCTCCCTCCATCGGCATCTTCTGCTATGTAACAGAGACATAAATAATCGATTAGAAATCCGTGATAGACGACACGAATAAGGAAACAAACATTCTAAGAACTACAAATAAATGTTGGACTTATGCCTTTCCAAACACTTTTTCTTGGAATTCAAAATTATTGTAATAAATCACTGACGTAAATAAATTATCGGGTTTTTAAACACATTTTGAAATAATATTGTAAGACATCAATCTGATGTCTTTTTTACCAGGAAAGTTAAGATTACTGATTACAATTAATAGTAAACGTCACGTAAAGGATTGTAGTCATTAATTACTTACTTCAGGCTGCTCCAATTCCTGTGTAGGTGCGGGCTGAGGTACGAATTGGTGGAGAACAGCGGGCTGCTGTAAATGGACATAAAATGTGTAAAATAATAAACCGACAAAACAAATCCGACCCTGCGAAATAATTACTAAATTAACATCAATTAATGGGCATAGACCCCCATCGAAGTTTAATCTCAAAAATGAGACTGGCATGAAATAAAATGCCTTTTTTACAGCGCTTGAAGAAACTTCTAACCTTAAAAAGTCAGTCGACGTTTAATAAAAAAAGAAAATAGTTATCATCATAAAAATAATATCTTTAACAAAGCCCTGCTGACATTATTTATTATAGATAATATGTAATACGATTATATTTTCTTTTGAACCCTTAGATAAGAATTTTTATTTTGCTCTACCCTGCAGAAATAACAAAAAAGTTTACTCTGTATAAGAGAGAACGTTAAATATTGACCCTGATGTTCCCAACCACCGAGTACTTTAACGTACAAAGCTTAACGCTTCACTAATTCTATAGTAAACTAAGTTTTTATCTAACGTGCAAGCTTTTGCTTTGAAACTTAACGAAAATTTGCATGCAAGGTAAGTTACATAACATTTAATTCTTGGAAATTATATTAATAAGAAAAATTTAAAAACATATTAAATATTTTAAACAAAAAGCTATTAATAAATCGACAAAAAAGTGACGAAGCTTTTAAGTCTGCGTATATCAGCAAAAAATTAAAAACAATACCTTTTCTTCGTATGGGTCGCAAAAAGCAAAAGTGGACACACTCGCAAAACATTTGCGTTGTATTTAAAACATGTTATTGCGTGTCGTCGAGCCTGGCTATTTTTGCAATAGTTAACTACTAGTTAACATTATTCTAGAAAATTTATAAACATTACCTGCGTTTACCATTTAAATGAGCGCTATCATACATAATTAAAAAATACATAATGAAGACTATGAAAACTAAATTTAATTCATACTTACGACAGAGTAGATTTTACTGAAACCAGTTTTTAATATAATGTAAATAAATAGCTTTATTCGGCGCAGATCATATAATTTTTAAAAACCCAATGTTTATGTGCAATGGAATAATGCGTTTCTTATGGACATGCCATAAATGACAATAAGTAATGCAACAAAAAGACACATAACAGTCTCAATAGTTTAAGATATTTCTAAACCTATGACACAATTACATTAAAAAAACATCGACTTGTATACCTCACATAAATGTGTTGATACGCCAAAAATCTATTTTATTTAAAAGTAAATTTACAATTACTTGAGTTAAAACAATTACGAGATTGTAAAGATGCATTATTTTAGTCATGCTTTTTTGTGTTAGACATTGTAATCAAATCAATTTCCGCGACAATGTTAATGTCGCATAGTTTATTGCAAACGTCACTTGCAGAACCCGTTTGCGTGTTATTGTGTGCAATTATTGCAGATTGACATGTCTAATGCATACTGATCAGGATATATCTACTTAATTTGCATGTACTAGACTAAATTGAATGAAATGATAACTATTATTTCGACTGTATTGAAACAAAAGCAAAACAGGTTTTAACATTTTTTATTCTTATCTGACTAGTGAGATATCAGATTCCACTGTAATTACCAGTCATTTTACCTTTTTTGTTTTTAAAATGAATTTACTATAGGCTAGACTAAACGACTCTGAGTGCGGCATTGGCGATTACTATGTTAATACACTCGTACCTCGTTCTGTTCACGAGGCTGCGGCGGCGGCGGGGGCGCGAAGGGACCCATGGTGTCTTGTGGTGGCGGTGGCATGTTGTGGGGGATGGCGAACACGCGCTGCACGTGAATGCGCATCTCACGAGGGATGTTCATCTGCTCCTCAGAGTTCTCCCACGGCATCTGCTGATGATTAAACGACGTAAGATTTATAATATGATTCACTGTAATGTTTGTAGTTAGATATTATCTTATTATCGTAACATCTTCTACTCATACAGTTCCATAAAGCTCATTAATAATTAAAATAATTGTACCAACATTTGAATATGACATTAGCTGTGATATTATAAGAAAATCGTGATCATGTAAAAAAAGGTAAAAAAAAAATACTTGAAGGTTACACATTTAAGTGTAAAATAAATTTGTCATAAAATGAAAAAGCGGCAAATTGTTTACATAAACATTAAAAGTAAAACCAATAAAAATCAAAGTATACATAAACATATGCAAACAAAGAATAATGCGCACTAGATATTTGTTTCATGAATAATACATCGGACATTGTGTTGAGGCAAATGTGTCGCAAATGAGATGAGAATCGACGATTAAGAAGCAATGACCTCACACACTCCAACAACATATTAGTGTATTACAAAATATATCTGTAAAAGTAAATATTTACAATGTTATTTAACTCACAATCCTATCTCCCTATGATGAATTTATAATCGCAAATTAAGATTTATGTAGAAAGTTTATCACTATCAAGATCTCGAAATTATCTTTCATAAATATTCTGTTATATTCCCGTTCATATATTGGTTACAAACCAATTCAATGAAACCTTGAAATTCGATATATTATCTTAGAGTTCGAGTGGCAAAAGAGTATTGAATATGACCACGTTAAAAAACTCAATAGTTCTCGAAAAGCTATAGATCCACAGATCAAATTATGTTAAACACATAATCAATCTATCATACGTGTATTGTCGTGACTTCGTGATAAGTGCTTGCAGATTTTTTAGGAAAACACTACAGATACTTAAATCTGTATTTTAAAATCTGACAATATCTGTATCTGGCCGCTAAAGTATTGCTTATAAAAGTAATATAAAAACAAAAGAGTCGAGTTTTCGTTTCAATTTAGCGTTAATGCTTTAATGTTAATGGCGGTCATACCAATCTTTGCAAGAAGAGATAGAGTTAATTTATTGGTATAAATTTTCAGCATCTAAAGAGTGGTTTTCTCGTCTCAAAAAAACTTTGGCATTGTGCGTTTACATTATTATAGAGCAAGGCAGGGTTTAGTTTGTCTAAGATATATATGAATTCTACTAATCTTTACCTTTACTAATATTATGAAGAGGAGAGATTTTTATTTTTGTATTTATTGAAATAACTTAAAAACAACTAGGCTGATTTTAAAAGTTCTTTCAACATTACAAAGCTGCATTATCAGTGAGTAACATAAGACGCGTTTTTCAATATTTTGTTTTATATCACGAGGGAGAAGTCGCGGGCAACAGCTAGTTCTATATAAAGATAAACAAAGGATGATATTGAGGTGATCAGATTTGGTTGTGTATATTAATATTCGTAGGATGAAGTCGTGATTGATGCGGAACGTTTTGGACGCGGAAGATGGCACTCGATTGTATTGTCCATTAACCTTGTGGTGTGTCGTTATCCGAGCATTGTGCCTACTTAAAATTTACATGTAACGTAGACTGAATTATGCCTTTAAATCGTAACATGTTTCTGGTTGGTTATGTAATACAACAATTATTTGTAATGTTCATTTAATACACAATAAGAAACAACATGATTTCATAAACATTAAAACTTGCTTAAAATAAATCTTGTTTAAAATTATTTAATAAAAGTACTAAGAGTTAAATGATTCAAATATCAAAGCGTTATAAAGATCATAAAAACTCGTATGTTCTTATTAAAACCTTACAATTAAGTTTTAATCAAAAAGAGAGACCCCTTTTCCAGCTCATTGTGAATTCAATTTATTCCCGCTAGTTGTAACGTCTCAGATATATCGTATAAAAGCCATTCACCCGCACAGCGAAAAAATTAACTAAATTATTTCCAAGATTAAAACTTACGCTTGAAAAACGAATGCAATTAACCACGCGTAAATCAAATTTTAATATTGTAGTGTTCATTTTATTACATCAATTTGTTTTTGTCCACAAAAAGTATAATGTGTAAAAATGTATCTATGTCCAATTATCCATTCCCGAAAAAAAAATGTACATTGCGTGTTCATAATTTTTTTAACCAAACCATGGTACTTCTATACGAAATATATAAACATCATTTCGGATTAAACCTAAATTCTATTATCAAAAGTTACTTGTTATAATAATATTATCCACTTTATGATTTTTTCACCACCAGGCAATGAACTCCATATAAGATACTCAAACGATACGGAGGCGTAAAAAAATGTAACGCAATTACGAAACGTTTCAAACGAATGGTCCTTGATTATTTCCAAGCCACTTGCAATACAACACACGTACAAGCCCACCTCAGCCACTTCCGTCTGATCTCGTTTCCGTTCATATTATAACCATAATTTATTAACCGCAGTTTTAGTCCCAGTTTAAATCTATACAGCTTAGCATTCGATTTCTAACATCATAATCCAAACTATTATCTGTGGCTAGATGAAAAGATCCTATCAAATTGATTTTTCCGTATTTACAGTACAGTTTACTGTACTAATTAACTAGTACTACAATTTATAATCTAATAGAAAATAAAATCTCGTATAGAAAACGTAGAGAAACTTGCGAATAGCATGACTCCTGTTTAAACTCATGCATAATATGCACATAATAATAATGAAGCGATAAAAATGAATTTAGTGGTCCGTCCGCTTTCCTAGACTGCTGGACACCTTGACCCAATCTAAACTATCTCGCTAAGATACTACCAATTTATTGCTTAGTATTTATTTAAATATTTGTTCGTCACAGTTTATTTTTTTATTATTGAGAACAGAATAAAATTCACAACTAGTTAAAAACACAGAGCGCTTTTTACTGAAAAGAAACTTAAGTAACGTAGACAATGGCCGTATGAAAAAATTTGTACAATTATAAATTAAATCGTTATTCATTATCACAAGAACCTATGTTCAAGAATATTCGTACTGCTAGTGCGTAGAAAAAATTAAACCGGAATAAATTTATAGTCGGAAATACAACATATCCGTACAATACGATTCTCTTTACTATTGCCTACATCCCGTCGAAAAGATAAATAAAAAATTATTCATTATTTTATTTCACATTTACCATTGACCACAAACATTGAAGATACCGTTACAAATGTAATGAGAAACACAAAAGAGCCTCGGTATTCGGCAACTACGATCTCAAGATGAAACTTCGGTAAGAACGTTCTTTTAAGATAAGGTTTAACTTATTTATTTCTGTCGTACTTCGACAAAATTTGTATTTTCGTATACTATTTTAAGTTTTTAATCTAAGACGATTTAAATAATTCGTCCATTTAACATATTTTCATGTTAATAAACAACATCCTTGGACGGCTCGTGCAGTTTGTGTAATTTGATGTAATTATGAACAACACACGAATTATATTTAACATCTACGGTAAATGCGATGAGTCGTTAACAGTATGGTTAAACTAATTTAGTTTAAAAACACCAAAATGAAATCTGTTGTACAGTTAGCTGCATAGATATGTATACATTTACAAAACTTAAGAGACTTGTATAGACTTTCGGTTTCAAAAAAATATGCATGTATTCGTAATAAACTTGAATTAGTAATCCAAAGCAAACAGATGGATTCGAAACTTGTATGTATTTATGCAGCTGGTTGTACTTAAACTCAAAGAGATTGTTAAATTATGTAAAATTAAAATTCTAATTGTTATAGTATTATAATAACTATAAAAGTTCGGTTTCTTAATACAGTTTGAAATAAATGTAATTAAAAAAAAATCTCATTCTTTTCTCAGCTATACAACATCGATGGAGAAAGTACGCCACAAATTATATAGAGATCCACATAGCCTAGCTGCTCTACTTTCACATTTCAATAATAAACAATAGACAATTAAAAACTAATTAGCTCTCCTAAATAAAAAAAAGTAAATGGGGGAGGGTCATTATAGACTGTATATAACCTTAAAATTACTATTGTGACAAAAATCACTATTCATTTTTAAGCATTCAATATCAGATCTCATAATAAAAGTAATACATTGAGAGGCTGTGTACTTAGAGTTCAATCATCCGAAATAAATACAGTTGGTTTCGGGCAATAGCGGTTCTGGCTGCGTACTGTTATCACATGAGTTTACAGTAACCTCAGGGCATTGCCTTAATCGATTTTTATTTGCTTTGCTTTGTTCAGTTCGCCTTAAGTCGTATAACGCTCCATGATAAAATTTCTCTTTATTCTTATATCTCTAAATAATAAATACGTTAAGCGAAAACTTTTTGTGTAACCCTTTTTAAGGAAATTGCGCGAAACGATGAATGTCAAATATGAAACAGTGTGGTGCCGGAGGCCTAATTTATATCCTTTTCTCTTTACCACCCTTTTCTTATAAGGAGAGGATGGGAACGGGAAGTGGATTTGACGGTAGAGGAGATGCATAGGAAGGGGAAATATCCTCTTTATGTGCATCTCCTCCTCTGTCGGATAAGGGTAGGCAACGCATCTGTAATTGCGAATGTCTATGGGCAGCGGTCGCTTCGCCACTTTGGCGGATTCAGGTGGCCGCTTGCTCGTTTGCCACCTTATGTTATAAAAAAAAGTCTATACGAGAAAGCACCTAAAGCTATTTTGATTTTGCCAAAATAAAATTAATCTTTGACATAATGAGACATCAAATCATCATCGTCGTCGTCGGCGCTGATATCAGATATTTTTTCATAAAATCATAGTCGAATTTCCACCAATGGGCGACCACTAGTATGTTTATTAGAAAGCATTAAAATCTTTTCGTTTATGAAACGAGATATATGTACGTTTAAAGAAAAAATAAACAATAACCTCAAAAAACTCCAAATAATTACTTGCCTATTTTACGGTTGTCGTTTTTAACAGTAGTTTAATTATTTCGTTTATAGTTGGTGTCATAACGTAGGATTTAAGTGTGAAAAGATAAACGACCGACATTATGGAAACACACCAATATGTGTATTAAATTTATGTACCGTCATAAATTAGATATACAAATGTTGAAATAGTAATTTAAATCGACACTCGTACGATGTATGAATAAGGTAGGAATTGCTTTAGCAGTTCGTTAGTAATGTATTAACCTCATGATTAGAGCTGGGACCGTGATAACATGCAACCACAACCGCGTGATAGTCACCTTGCGGAGCTAGTCGCTGAGTCGTCTAGTCGCCTGTCCAAGTGGAACAAGGTTCATGAACGTTCATGTTCACTTATGCCTCGAATGTGTTCGATGAAAGACTTACAAAAACATATGACGCTCCTCCGAAAACAAACGAATATTTACAGAAGCAGTTCGTTTACCTATGCACGATTTACGTGTTGTCACTTCTTCATCTATACATCAAAGTCGTTCGCTGTATACATTACGTTGGACTTGAAGACTTGTTGAATCTCTGGTAAATATGAACTGCTTAAAATCTACTTCGTGCTTTCCTTTAACTAACCAGGAATCGAACTTAGGCAACCTTGATAACCTTTTACTGTAATTGCTAGACTCAGTATACTTATTGATTATTCTTAGTAAATTTTTATTATTTGTAACTGACACTACCTCTTCCAAACAATTCAAACTTTTGACATAAAATCATTAAAAATGACTGAGATGATAACGAAATTACATGGCGAGTACAAGAATCTAATAAAACATGCGGGGTACCGGTCCATGCGCGTTCTCGTCATCGTCCTATACAATGTGAAGTTCAAGACCGGAGATAATAAAAACAGACAAAAAAAACATCCAGTCAAATTAGGAACGAATGGTATCGATCGTTCGCATACTTATATATAAAAAGTGTGATGGTCGCGCGCACCACAAGCTGTCGGCACGCGGCGCAACATGCACGCCTCCCTTGCGCTCGTCCTCGCGCTCACCGCGCACACACTCGCCGCGCCGCCTCGCGAACGCGCCGGCTTCCAAAGAGAAATAGATGGCACACGATACAACCAGGTGCCCAAGATCTTCGACTTTGTGCTCAGCGAGGACTATCTCAACTCTCTTAGAAGCAAAGGTAAACTCGTGACGAAATTAAGACCGGAAGAAGCACTAGCCGCAGACAATGTTATATTAGAATCCAATGTGGTGAGAATAGTGAGGCCCTCTAAGCATAGAGACAGCGAGAAAGGTGTGGCGTTAGTGCGCCAGCGCAGAGGCTACAACCTGGAGAACGTGCGGGTGCCTGCGCGGTATCCCTATCTGCCAGTACCGCGGTACAACCGACTGCGCCGCTGGGGCTAGCGGGTAGCGGCCGCGCACCTCGGCCGAGGCGCTCTCAAATGTCAAGGCTGCGGCGGCATCGTTCAGAAGGCCCCGGAGCAGCGCGGCGCATCTCATGTATGTGCATCACAACAAACAGACTGTTTATGTTTATGTTATTTATTCGAAGTGGCTGTGATAGGACGCTCGTTTAATGCAATTATTTCTGCGGCTTCGAAACAAAGGCAGAGTGTCTACACATATGTAGTAGTACAGATTGTTACTGTGCATCCTAAGTTTTAGCTTGTTAATTTTATTACATGATAAATATTTACAACTCGTTTGATTTCTTAAATGCCATATTCAATAACGTATCTTCTTCCATTCAAATTTATATCTAAAATAATTTATTTCTTACTTCTATTTACAATGCAAGGTATACATGACGGCGTTTTCACAAGGATTTTTTTTGTTATTATAAATATTTGACTTTCAATTGGATGTATCTATACGTCTGACATCGGCAATGACCTAACATAGCGCGGGGGACGAACCAAAGTTGTACTTTTAAATGTTATGTACGATATATGTAAATGTAACTGTAAGTACATATTATAATGCTATCTAACATATTAAAATACTCAAAATACTCTAAAATTATCTACGAAAGGAATTATTCAAAGAAAATTACTAGATAATTTGAACAATAACATTTCTCAGAAATAACTTGTAATTAACTCTTTTTGAACCGTGAGATTTCGCGCTTATAGTCAATACTGAGGAAAATTCTGCTTTGCCTTATATGGCAAATGCAAAAAGAAAAAATGGTGAAGCGTACACGCATTGTTTACCACAATACTGGTGTCTTTAATTCAATCAGCTTGTAGCTAGCAGTAGCAAGCAAGTTGCGTGTAATCACGAACAGTGCTGTACCGACATTACAGTAATTAGACCTTATCGTGTTGTAATGGGAACAATGTAATATGCCTCTATCCGTGTCACGGGGGTAACCGATCTTTTAAACTAACCCTACAATCATACAAGACACAGTTGAAACATTGTTTCAATTGCGAAAAAAAAACTACAAACGACAAACATTGGTTAAACCGTGCCTACTCTACACTGAATATATGTAGTAAAGAACAAGCAACAGTTTAAACTCTAAAAATGTTATTGTTTTGAATTATTACACATTTTCTTTACATTGTACAACAAAAAAAATAGTAACGAAACATAATCTATTGCCCTAAATATTACACACAATCTCACACGAACAATAAAAATCGTTAGCAACGTACAGGAGAAAATGTAATCATAGAAATTATTTATTTACATAGAAAAAGGGAATTTAATTTATTTCCTAGCGAAACTCAAGACGTCTATTTCTTTGGAGACAAATTAAGTCATTATCATCATAGGATATGTCCTTATCCATTCAATTTGAGGTCAGGGCACCAGTTTGTGACCTGCAGATCGATTTATCATTCGTTATTCCAATCTTTACTTCCTTCTTTATCATATCACCTTATGACAACGGTATTGGGGATAATATGAAGATCATTCAATACAGTTAGTTTCGGTTGATGAGCAATGATCTGTCCTGACCCACTAACATCGCATTTCTCGTATTCGCTCACGACTGTACCGCTATGCGCACCTACACTCACCTCTCGTTCAATGCACATAATTCAGGACAGTTAGCGACTGTACAAACAAAACAGCGACTGCTTTCAAATTCTTAAATTCAAAACAAATCATGTCATTAGAAAGACAATATACATTTCTTTTATTATTTATTAAATGGTCGTAACCATTTTTACCTAAATTTAAAACTGAATATTTTAAATGTCATAGTTTTTAAATTTATAAGTGAGTGATAAATTAAATCCAATCTATTGCGCAGGGCAAAAATACGCAAACTAAAAACAGGGAGAATCAACGACGAACTGGCAATTTTTTATGTAATCTTGTGGTAAAAGCGCCTTCTATACAAAGACATCTAGTTCGTAATACACTTCTTAACAAGTTGTGTAGGCGCTTGTCATTTACATGCGCAGGGATTAATTATTCTTCTATTGATTTTCATCGAATTTGGTATTATCACTAATTGAACGCTCTATTGTCGTTATATCCTTTGTGCTCATTGGAGGTAAGTTGAAATGGCGAAGCTCAACAAAAAACGAAATATCAGGCAGTCGCAGCGTGGCACATGTTCTACGTGAGGTCGTTATTATACCGACCATAATACAACAGGAACGTTTGGATAATTACAAAAAAGAGGGTTCCTTAGGACGCTGGTATATCAAAAAAAATAATCGTTTTTTGTTCAATGCGTTTAAGTGATTTAAAAAGATTTTCTGGTGATTTGCCAATATTAATACAACAAAAATAATAATAGCCTAACACGTGACTACGAAGCAACGTATGTTAAATGCTCATTAATTTGCAATAAGAAATCTAAATGCTATTATTGATAACATCGATGGGTAACAAAAACGGCTACAATACGAATCAATAGGGTTGAATCCATCTCATTATTTACACAATAGGAACCATTTAGTAATAAAGTGAAGTATGTACATTTATATACGTACAATACATGTACTTATATGTATTTGTAGCTATGGGTGCTTGAACGTGTCGCGAATCGTACCCGCTCCGCCGGACTGTAAATCAACTTTTGTAAATATAAAAATGTTATTTATTTTTGCGACACGACGTGCGCGTTGCTGCCGCTAACCACTCCCTTCGGTAAAAACTGATTTAGGACAACCTCGAACTAAATAATGTTATGTGCTTAAACGTATGTATTTGTTAAAATTGTAATGATATTCGTATGAAACAACACTATAAATACAGATTAGGTATACATAATATTTTTTTTCTCCTAATCTTTTACATTCATAATCGTCAACACGTCATTCCAGATCAAGGTCTTCCAGAAACATTGGCTAAATTATCAAAATTATTTTATCGACAGACTAGACGAGAGTGACTTTGTTTTATAATATGTAAGTAGTATATAGTGTAATACATACATATATGTATATAGATATTTCAAACGACCTGACTTTCACGACGCAAATATATTAACACGGTTTTCTCGAAACTTTCCACTTTAGAACTCTGTGAGAGCACAAAGAACCTTTAGAAATTTAGCGACTTCAGAATTGTTCAACGATTTAGAATCCAAATACTACATATGTACTTCCATTCGACAAAACCTGTTAAGGTCATAGAATTAACTGCGTTTTTTGTTATCCTTTTTAAAGGTGTATTGAAAACCTTTTTGCCTTCATTTTATGTGATGACTCATTGTAGATAAGTATGGATGAATTTCAACAACCGCACAGTATTCATAAGTATATTACTTTAACGAAATTGGATGACTGTCACCATTAAATTGTATTATAATTTAAAAATAAATTATTAAACACAAGAACAAACTGGTGGTTGATTTTAAGCTTTAAATAGAATAAAATCAAAACTATATTAAACCTTAATAAATACTCGTATAAACAATTCAATTCATTAAATGGTTATTGCGAAAAAACAATTTATCATCCGTTGATATTGTTGAACCTATAATAAGAATCACCATTAGTTGTAATTTACATAATTTTTAATTCAAAACTTATTTACTTTACTACTTTAATTGGAGAAGTAATTACCTTTTTTTAAATAATATTTAATAATAATAATAACGCGTTTCGTTTCACACCAATTTCGTGGTCCAACGAAAAGAACTCATCGCAACCTTCGAGATGTTTCAAAGAACAACAAAAGAGAACAAAAACATGAAATGTGAATTACAAAAAATGAGGCGGGAACGTTGGCCAAAACCGGATTATTATTGCATAAGGCCATGCACATTCGGACACCACACAGGCCCGACTGAGGGCAATGACCGAACCTGATTTTTCGTGAGGCGTAATGTTTTGCAAATTAAAATTCAATCAAAATTATATTACTGAAACCAAGTAGTGTTTTCATATAAGCGCAAAAAAACGAAACATTCCAAGGTTATTTATGTTTGTGACATGTTCATGTTTTCTCTAGAAACAGAAACTTTTAACGAGGCGTCAAATAACGTTCAATATTAAATATTTACGTTTATCATTATTGAAAACTTTAAATATTTCAGCTTTGCTATAGCAATATTAAATCATAATAAACATTACAGTTTAATTTTTATACGTATTAATACTACCAACAACTTGTAATTTATTTTTTAAGGTCTCATATGAAAATTTAGTTTACCAAGGGAAGGTTCCCGGCAAGGTTACATAAGTGGCATTTATTTTTACTAACGCTAACATCTTCCGAACTTCCTTAAAAATAAATTAAGATTTATTGCGTTGATTTGTTGTTTATCATTAAAGAACAAGCTTATTAGTTAATAATCGTTTTTTTTTATTTGAAAAGTTTTCTTACCGGCCAGAAGACTAAAGAAGAATTACATCGAAAAATATATATAATATGATAAATATTTATCGATGTAATTCTCCTTTATTCGTCTTCTTTGGTAATTTAAATTTAAAATAAGTTTAAATTATTTATATTTATATGTCATGCATTCATTAATTAATTATTAATCATTTGACTGTAACATCATTTATTAAAATATTATTTCTTATGTTACTATACTCCTATCATAACTGAAGGTAAATAAGCGGTCGGCCGTCACACAATCTACATAATTCATCATACTATTTAAAACGAAACTAGTTTTAAAACTATTGCATATAAATAATCCATTTATTAATAAACATATTTTACTAACATACCCTAAAACACAGGCTTGTCTTATTGTATCTTATTTCATATATTACAATTAAATTTTAGAGTATGTTAAATTGGTGAAAATCAGCCAAAATGTTATTGCTACACATTTAAAAAATTACAATTAACAAAACCATTTATGTACGTCTATACTAATATTATAAAGATGAAAGGGAAAGAAGAAATAAGGGATGATAAGGAAAGTTGCGAGCAACAGCTAGTATACTATAAAATAGAAGGAACAAAAGAAACATTTATATTCAATTTGCATGAATTTCTCACATTCTTTCATATCTTGCATAACATAGAGATATCATTTAAATGCTAAAGTTCCAGCATTTACATACACTCGTCTTTCCCTAAGAGAAAGGCAGCCTACTTTCTCCCATAAATATTATTTATTTTATTTTATTCTCTGAGAATTTTGAACAAGTTACATTTTGGATAAATTAGGCATCGCTATCATACTATGATACTTACTAATATTATAAACGTAAAAGTATATAGGGATGGATGTTTGATAGAGTTTGTAGCCTAAACGGCTAAAGGGATCTCGGTGAAAGTTTTAGACGTAGAGGATACTCCAGTGGATACATAGTGGATACATAGGTTGCGTACTTTTGTTTTTTAATTCCTCGCTGAAGCAGTCGCGGGCTAAAGCCAGCAGACTATAGATCTGAACAACTTTGTTATATCTTACAGAAATAAGGAGAATGGTCTATCTTAAACCTCCATTATCTTATTAATTAGTCTGAGTAGTATTTTATTACTGGAATTAAAAATAAATTATAACAATTTATTTATAAATAAGAAACTTTCTCTCATCCTCCGTTGTGAAAGTATTTTAATATGCTATCAACGTGTTATAGCATTTTATTATAATATTGTAATCGAAACATGTTTATATTGATAACGCTTTCACACAACACTTACGAAATGAGGATTCAGGCGATAGTATCACATGTAAGCTTAAAATGTAAGTAATCACTTAGATAACCTCTGACCTATAACTGAGATGAACTGTGAATTTCAAACCAGCATTCCACTAGTGATATCTTCTAGTATGAATATGAAGAAAGAATGTTAGGAAATTGTTTACACAGATAAAAGAAAATAATCTTTCGCCGTCTAAAGGTCACACAATGAAAGCCCAGTGCTTAGACTTATTTCAGTTATTGATAAGTTTTATTTGAATTGCTTTATTCAATAAAACTAAGCTACAAAACTTACTTTTCATATTACAGTAAACAATTACAGCTCTCCTTATTTATCAAGCCTTAGTAAAGATAGTATTAAGCTATGTAGGTTATGTTTAAGTATAATATTTCTGCTTATACTTATTTAAAATTTTAGCTTTTTCACTATTAATATCGTCCTAACGTACTTAAGATTGGCATGTATAATAATAGGAAAAGACTTAAAAAATTATAAGTACCAGTAACGTAGACTCTTGCAACGAAATAATAAAAATATGCCCTGTTTACACTTGGCCAGTTTAGTAAGACAGTTGCGACAATCATTGGAGCCTGTTAGCGTTCATACTCTGCCAGTTACAAAAGATACAACTGTGCTGGCCAAGTGTAAACTGCGCATAAAAGAATGTATAAAAACAAAATGTCGGGTCAGTACAGATAAAATTAAAACACAATTTGATGTCATTTAAAATACAGGAATTTTAAACACTACATATTGAATTCAACATTCTTATCCTGTTAATATTTTGTGTAAGCCGTTGTCAACTGTCGAAGTGCCAGTCGCTTAACATAGGTCTGCCTCTAGAGACTTGTACCTCGTAATACAAGGAGAGCTGTCAGTGTCGACATCCACTTGCCCTTGTTCACTTTTTTGTTAACTGTATTTGTCTGAACAACAATTTAGATCTAAATAAATTATTTCTAAACTTTATTTGAATATGTCGTTAAAAAGTTTCTTATCATAATAGCTACACTTATTTTGATGATCGAAACAGTCATAAAATTCTTTATGGGCGATTTCTATTTCGTTACATAGCATAACCAGTTTAATAAATTTTAGAGCAAAGATAACATTTATATTTAACGTTAAAAAAAATGTGTAATGTACGAAAGAACTCACAGGACTCAAAGATTCACTTAATTAAAATCCACAATTATTAATTGCATAAAAAGAAAAAGGCCTATATCCAGCAATGGACAGACGAAGGCCGATAATGATGACGATGATTAAAAGAAAAAAAACCTCATAAACGTAGTAAACAAAGTAGCCGATGACTGAGCAAAGTAGAAGTTTAATTAAGAAAACCGACCCCACTACTATATGGGGATACGAGTAAGGAAAAGAGAGGAACGTCTCGCCATTGAAAATTGTAAATTAATTTAACAAGTATACCAAAGTTTATAAAACATTACTACAATATGTTCCTAAATAAGACATCTAGCTCCTGCAAACTTAATTGTAACTTATCTCGAGAATTCTATGTTAACCTCAATCTATAATTAAGAGACTTACCGGTAGTGGGTAGGGCGCGGGGCGGCGTCCCATGGGCGGGAAGGGCGACATGCGGGGCTCCGGCGCAGGCATGGCCACGCGCTCGGGCAGCGGCTGCGGCTGCGGTTGAGACTGCGGTTGCGGCTGGGGCTGCGGCCTGATCGGGAGCCTCACGGGCCCGGCGAGCGGGAACGCGAACACTTGCGATTGCGGCTCCGGGAACACGCCCATTTGACTACAACAATCAAGGATACGTTAGACAATGGAATATATACACAAATGACTTTGTTTCTACTAATTAAAAGCTTTTATCGTACCCTATATGGTAACAGAAATAGCCACAGTAATATGGTAAATCATTTAAAAGCTGACTTATTACTACACATCATTTTAAGGATTTGGAGCTTTCAAATTCAACTTCAAAGTCGAACAAAATTACATAAAGATAATATTTATACGAAATTTCACAAAAATAAGGACGTAACTTTCATAAAAACGGTGAAAAGATCTACTTTGAATTTCGGACAACTTCAAAGTAAATTTGAAAGTAAAAAGATTCCAAAGCAGCTTACTCATTTGACTTCGACGTTAAAAAGAACTCATTTCGTTGATATTTTTATATCTTTTGATAGATTTATTTCTCGGAAACTTCAATACTAAAGAATTAAGACAGGTATCTATATAAATAAAGGGACACTTTGGAAGTGAAATTATTGGAATAAGATTACTTTAAAACGAGTTTTCAGAGCGATATTTGCGTACTAATCGCATTATTTTGCAAAACTCGAAAATGCTCACCTCGGTTCATCCCCTCCGTGGCAGATGATAGCGACACGTTCCGAGTGCGTATTGCGGGGAGCGAACGCGCCCAGGATGTTGAAGGGAAACCGCCTCTCCAGGGGCTCCTCGTGACGCCTCTCCACTACGCAGTTCATACGGCCTCTGTAAACAATCACAAATTATACTGATTTAGAATGATAGACGTTTAAAGAAACCATAAAAGTACCACAATACCTGGAAATATAAATTTAAGAAGTAGTTTCTCGTATATTCTAATTTGCGGGTAAGAAAATCCGATTTGTTTTCCTTTTTCTTGTGTAATTTAAGGAAGTCATACGTACAAAACAACAAGAACGAAACTGATCTTTAACGCTCACTTAACATCAAGCGAAAAAACATATTAGTTTGTCATTTAGGCTGGGAAAGAAGGCAAGAGGTACTTATCTAAAAATTAAATATACATTTACTTAACGTAAAACATAAATAAACACAAGGGCGACTATTACTGGCAGCATATGACCTCTTTCATACCTTGTATGGGTAAAACTATAGGCCAAGTTTACTTGCTACTCTAGTACTACCTCTATGTTCCCCAGCTAACTTTGAATCGGTAATATTTCAGCATTTGAATATTATAAAGTGAAGATGTTTACAATCAAAGCAAGGTAACGTAGTGTACTTACTTCAGGTTGTTGGGGAGAGAGGCTCTCACAAGCTCGCTAAGGTCAAACTGTATGGGCCTGATAGCGTCCAGCTCGTCCTCTTCGTCGGAACCATCAGATTCGGAACTCTCATCGCTGCCGGAGTTCACTGCGTCGTGTTTCACGTTGTCATCGTCGATTTTCTGCAATAATAGTACTCATATTAAAAATGTTTTTTAACATGTGACACTAACTTTTACCCTAAAAGCATTTGTTAGGAAGAGTATAAAAAAAATATTAATTTTAAGATTGTAAATTACGAAAATGTATACAATAGACATATCGTTATATTTATTCTTGCACGATTATATCCGAAATTGCAAAACATCGTGGGCGAAGTACTTTCAGTTATTGAAGGAAGTGGCAAAACGAACATTTCCTTATTACGTTTCCTAGTCACGAATTATTCATTTTACTGGTATATGTAAAATATAAAGTGTGAAGTACAAGCAATGTAGAACTTTACGCTTTTTTTATAATTGAAAGGGCAAACAGCTCGTCGCCTATTATTATTCGCGGTTCACACTTGACCAAATGGTCAGTAGCGCCCAATAACTGGAATTTCAGTCAGCTGTCGCAGTATAAAAGCTAACTGGCACAAGTGAGTCCATACAAACTACGATTACTACGTCGAACGGTCCACCTGTACTGGCCAAGTGTGAACCGCGCTTTAAATTATTTAACGCCCACGGTAATCCGTAACTGCAGAAACGTTACCGAGTGTTTTCTGTAGTCATGAATCTGATAATTTGCCTAATAAGCCTGATTGAATTTAACGGTATTTAGCGGTTAATAAACGAGGTGGCGTACAGTCGAATGTCCCGTTCTGTGCTGTTTACCGGGCACAATACGCGCGGACATCCTGCGCAAGACAATACGCCGCGCGCCATTGTTCCACCGCCCCCCGTTTGTAAATAAACCCAGTATTCGGAGAGGATAGATAACTCATCGCTCATTTTCCCTTTTAAGGTTTGTATCCATGTATAATTTTTTTCTTTATTAATACACGAAGAGGTACAGTACATTGTTTGAATTACATTAAACGTGACGACTAGTGATTTATCTCGATCATGTTGGAACAATCACGAAGATTATCTTGAGAGATGGTACTTTCCCAAGCACGAGGGCGGGCGAGGGCCTGCCTCTGCGTGCGGTGCGACGGGGATAGGGGCCAGTGAAAGCTGTGACGTCATTAGTTGCATAGGCCACGCACCATCGCGTGCACTTTACACCCGCTCATTTAAATTGTACAATGCACCTTACGCAAGCCAACAACACTGGCATTTGTAATTCCACGCTCTCGATTTGCTCAGAAAATGAGCAAACCGCATGCTAATCACTTACTACCGCATTGTCTTTTCGCGTGTCACGTCGAAGTAAATACTTAGTCTAAAATATTGTTTAGTAAATAACTGCAAGTCTTTTAACAAATCAATTACAGCATATTGGAAATCAAGATTGGTTTTTTATATTTAACGAAATCCATCTTATTGCAAATCAAATTCAGATAGAGGGTTTAAAAAAGACTGTGTCATTTCTGTTTTACAAAAACACTTAGTCATACTCTCCTGCGTACCGCATGTTAACCGCTATGGTAACCTAGAATTGGATTTGTTTATACTTTTTGCATCGTCTGACCAACCTTGTTACAGTAATAATATTTTTGTAAAATAATCCTTTTTTATTCGACAGCGGTGTAGTCATAACATAAGACGTGTGTAGAATACCTTTGTGTAAGGAACTAACTTGTACGGTTGTTATGTCTTTAAAATATGTTCCGAACAATAGTAAAAGTGAATACGCCTTATATGCTATTTCGGTTACTGTTGTCTCGAGTCGAAGTCCCTGTGGACTTTGAATCAAGTGCGGATGATATTACAAAATCGTAAATCAAAACATAGTATGAATCTTTAATGAATACACATTACATGAAATGTCAACAGTTCAGCCCATGTCAGGCAAGATAATCGCCTGGAGGCTCCAACGCTTTGAATAATGAGAAATACTACATCTCTGCTCACTTTCTCTTAGTTCAGATCGACAAGATGACCTTTTGTTGCCGGAAACGTAAATGAAATTATCTCTCATAGTTATATATAAAATAAAAAATTTTCTCGCGATTTCAGATCTATAAATAAAATTTGGAAATTCAATAAATTATTTTATATCTACATTCTTTCATCCATATCTACCTTCATTACACTGTCTTAAATGTAAAAAGTTTTATCCGGTCTACGTGTAGCGCTAAAGCATTTTATCAAAACAGCAAGTACCAACGGGAATCCCAACCAAAACAAATAAACAAAAAAAAATTGCATCGCATGGCGTATCAAACATTGTTATAATATTTTTCAAATATCTTGGCAGCTCGAAACTTCATATCAGTCGTTGCGCAGAACTCAATTATAGGAATAGCGACGTAAGGGAATTTGGAGGATAGGGCACTGTTCAGTGCGCAACTCAGTGCCACACAACAAATAGTTTGAAATGAAAATCCATACCTGTAATTTGTCTTCGTCGATCTTAGACTCGGCATGGTTCAAGGGGTCTTCCTTGACATGGCTGTCGGAGTGTGGGGCAGACGCAGGCTGCGAGCTCGAGTGCACACTTGAAGGCTGTGGCGGGTCCGCATGCAGCGCGTGCGCGTTTGCGATCGGCAACGGTTCATCCTATAAGCAGAACAATATTCATAAATATCTATGCTATCTATCTTTGTTTTGAACACCGATGGGTACACAGATGAGCCCGCAAAACACATGTATATAACTTAATGAAGCTGGATTATTGATCGTATCTATATTTTAGTAAATGACCTTTCTGAGAATTAACGGAATTAGTTTTCAAAATGCACAGGAAAATACCGTCAATCAAAAACCGTTTATTTTATGAGCAAAAACATGACACGAGCTAAAACATCGCAAAATGGCGGCTGTACTCGCTTACGTAACATTAGAGACTTTTAAACGGTAGGTGTATATGCAGCACAAACACATATGAATTACGGCCCATCATTGTCCAAGCCAGTTGCAATTCTCACACGGAATAATTATGGCAACTTGAAAAAAAAAATCATATGATAGTTGCAAGGTTAAATGCAATTGCGCACAATAAAACCTTAATTGTTTGTTTTGTACATTTGTCTCTATATTAATACTCAACGTAGTAAAAACCATGCAACAATGACAATATTATTCGTAAATGTTGTAGTTTAGTTCATTTGGAAATCATTATTATGACCTTGACAGTATCAGTTGGTTGATTTTAAAAAACAAAGCCTTCGAAAAACAAAGAGTCGTCTAATTATCACGATAAAAGATATTCCTTTATCACGAATGTCAAAAAATCGACTTTAAAAATGTTTTACAGTAAAATCTTATTAGCTTTACAAGTAAATAAGAAGATTTTCTCAGTACCGTTTATTCATATTTTGTAAAAATAGTTGGCTTATTAAATTCTTGTACGGCGGTGTTTGATGTGGTTTTTTGAGATTGATCTTCAAAGGCATAATCATACAATGTTTACAAAAGAATCTGCTTTATTTCTTTCATAAAATAATTTGTAGTATTAAAGTAATTGATATCAAAGAAAACTTAAAAGTATTGACGCTTGCTTTAGATCAAAACTATAAAATCTTAAGTTGTTTGAAGCTAACACAAGACTTTGGAGGACGAAAACCCCGCGGCCGACCTTACGGGAGTAGGATAAGGCAGGGAAGACGATGATGATGATGACAAGACATATTTAGTAGAATTCATAAGATGTATGACAATCTTAGAGGTTAACACGACTTTTCTAAACACTTTCAATGCTACTATTATTATAGAGTATATTTAAGTAAATACGCAGTGCAATTTCGGCGACAGTGAAATATGTGCGAAAGCTGTCATTCGACGATTTTCTCATACCTCTCACCTGATGGTTTATAGTTGAGTTAAATGTGAGACGGATCAAATGCAAAACATACGTGCAGCGGTGTCAAGTAACGGCGGTCAGCCGAGCGGGGAATGTTCGCGAGCGCTATCGGATAGAAAACACCGGCGATTACGTCGCCTCGCCAGTCGCCACGTCGGCGTCGCCTCACAATTGTCGCATTGTACTCCGTCAGTATACCGCCCACCACAGCACTTTTACTACATTTACGAAACAATTTTAAACGATCATTGACGTTATTACCTCTAGAGTAGAACATTGCGTGATAACAAGGAACTGCCTACAGTCCGATTTAAAAATAGTCGGTTAAAACGGTGCCGAAACCACATTAGCTACGGTTATTATGGACAACGTTCAAAATGTATTGAAAAGTTAAATTATTTTAAAAAGTTGAATGGAACAATACTTGTGAAATTACACACGTAGCATCGAACGGCGAATTCTACCAAACATCTAATTTTGTTTCGTCATACAACATTACCTTGACCAAAGATTTAATAACACGTGACTCGATTCAAGTAGCTTTGATACATTAAATTGGTGGTGATAGTAAGTGAAGAACGAAGTCGGTTAAATGGTAATCTTTCATTTGCGTTAAAATCAGATTAACCCTATCATTTCCAAGGCATCTTCACATCACCGTTCACATACACTTCTCAGAATAAGTTTACAAAATAGCCAAGAAATGCAACTTGCGTCCAATATAACTTGCAAATGTGTTTACAATTCTAGGATGTGATATATCAATTTCTGCTTCACCTTGATTGACACAACAAGAATTAAAAGAGTGTAAAGTTAAATGTATACAAAACTTAAGCATGTTAGTTAATAGTCTGATTCTACTCTCAATTTTTCTATAATTGTTGTATTCTTGTCCGTCACTTTTATGAAATGATATTCAATTGACCAATAATTTAAAATGCTGTTGATATTTTTAAATGCGTTGTAAATTTTAATAAGTATCAAAATTACTTTTGCAACATGCATATTAATTAAAAAATGTAATGAAGTTAGTTAAGTATAAGCCGCAATGTAAAAGTATATAAACTCTAGGTCATGCAATGAGCCAACATGGAAATTAACCTCTGTAACAGTTCATTTTAATTGTAAATTAATATATTTACTAATCCAAACGATGTTGGGCTAGGTCATATGATTTCGAACTAAGAAATAAAGCAAAACTATAAAATAGGTGCACATAATTAAACACTGTATAGTGTATTAACGTACAAATCTTTAGCTCAGCAATATTAAACCAATTTAAGGAAGACGCACAACAAACTCACGTGCAATCTAAAATTTATTATGCTCCAGACATAACGTTTATCAATTATGTAATTTAAATTCAAATCAAGCAACCATTACGACAATATTTATTCATACAAAATTATTCTGAGTGCTTCTAGATGGTTCCTATAATAATAAAGCCAACTCAATGTTTTCATTTCAATTTAGTCGCTTGAGCAACCTTCGCGCGCTGTCACAGTGACGTGACACCTTGATATTTTTTTAGTTGCACAGATATTATTCAAGTATAAGATTCACAGATTAAATATTACACGAGGTCAATAATTATCCAATGGCGTGTCTGTGGGCGGGTCGCGCGGGTTGACGGATGTGCAGAAGAATCATTGTGTTGCGCATACGCGTTAAATAACCCATTTCCGTTTTCCCCAGCACTACGGCAGTTACGCGCACGTGATTCGAATGAAGTTAAAACTGTAGAAAATTACAAAATTAAACCTGCAATTGAATGTAAACAAATCAAACATTGATTTAAAGATATACATGAGAGATTGTAATTTTTAAAATGAATAGTTGCTCTTGAACAGACAGGCTATTTACCTAATAATGATTTATTCTCTAACAAACGTAAAACAAATTCCTATCTAAATAACAAGTTATTTATAACTTTTGAAAATATGATCATCTACTCTTTCGAGTTTTGATGACGATATTTTAATACCGTTGTAATTAAAAAAATCACTTAGAGAGATTTTATCTAGAAATCGTTTGTAATAATCGCTGTTTACTCAGAACGTATTTTGTTTCATAACAACTTAGAAAACTTTATTCAATAGAGGATATCAAATCAAAAGTTGGAAATTATACAACTAAGGTATCATGTTTTGAAACTGAAGACGTAAAATTTAAACCACGGAAGGAACAATTTATATATTGAAGCAAAGGTTTTAGGATATTTTTTATGTATATGAACAATTACTAGACAGCTTCTACAGGGAAAAATATTCTTGTACTTTTTCCTTTAAACACTTAACGCTGCCAAAAATGTAAATTATTTTATTGATTAATATTTTCGATACTGGACACATCATTTTTAAGGACTGGTAACTTTTAAACAGAGAAGCACAGCTTCTATAAAATTAGTAAATTAAGGTAAATGACACATACATAGATGTGGTTGTTTAAACTAAGAACAAGGTATTATAGGCAGAATTATAGCGTGTTAATTTAAAATACAATTGGTCACGAGATGGCAATCGTCGTATGAATCTCAAATGTTTACATTTCAATATATACGTTAAATATTATGAGTTAACGTTATCACCATGCATTTTAACATAGTTTCAACAAGTGAATATGAATAGAATAGAAAGCCCTTGCCAATTACAGAACGTTATTCATGTTTCAATCAACAAAGACGACTTTAGTAGTGTTTTCTTATTCAGTACTATTGAATAAGTACCTACGATTTTGCATGACAATTACTTTCAAAAAGAATAAAAGAAAATATACATAGCTTGTTTTAAATATCAAAGAAGGAAATTGGATAACATATGAATCATTCTCTTGACCTTAAAATGTACCCTTATTCTTATTACGCTGAACTTACAATGTACAGATGTTTTTTTTTATCAAAAATGGTAAAGTAATGCCAACTACATCATGTAGTGTTAACCTTATGCACCACATTTTTATAGAATGAGTGTTGCAATCACCATGCTATTGTATTTTTATAAAAGAATCTGCATTATAAGATAACAATTAACAAAAGTAAATACCTTATGGCTTGTAGATGTTAATGACGTCCTTCAGCAATGACTGACACCATTAAAACATGTCAAAATCAATATGCTGTACCCTCAATTGTTTATTTAAAACGTACATGATGGTGACGGAATAAAAGTCGACCTCATTTAAACTTGAAATATTAATATGCTGCCGCGACGTGATTCATAGCAAAACAACGAAGAACAATTTATAATAAATCAAAAATCGATTATGCAGTCGAAATTTAAAACCTTTTAAATGAACGTAGATAAAACTACATATTACATGATCAAAAAAATGTTATAAAATCCACAAATTGTCAAAAAAATATCTATTTGGTCAAAAGACTTTTGCATTTAACTTTTAAGGAATTTTAACTCTCAACCAAGCGCTACTTAACTTTATTGAAATATACACGCGACTCCAGCAATAACATTGTTATTGCCTAAGTAAAACAGTACTTAAAGTCTAGACCAGATCGTAAAGTTAACTCGTTCACGCTTACAACTTTATAACGAAGATTAAACAACAAAAGCTCTGTAATTGCTTTCTATTGCTTGAATCCATAAAACACTATTAACAAACGATTTAGGCCGTTTAGTATTACAGCTCTATCGCTTTTCACAGACTAAAACGTCAAGGAAAGTTTCCTTTTCTTAATGTCGTTACTTAATTGTCTAATACATTTCTTTATATTTTTATTTGAAAGAGTATTTGATATATCTCCTGAATTTATACATTTCGATTTCTATTTGAAATTAACTCTAAACACGATGTTCGTAAAATGCATGTCATAGTTCGATGTTTAGAACCAACGACATCATAAAAGCGCCTCAAGGCTTACCAATAGCGGTCTAGAATTGGCGAAAATGTATGTGTGTGTATGGCGAAAGTTGCGGACTCGGTCACTGACCCCGGGTCGCGGATGCATCTCAACGGGACAGGCCGCCACGATGCGTTTCCAATGTAGCGTTAGTTTGTTAGATGAAACATTAACGTTATAGAAAGTGAGGAAGTTGTCACTTCATATCGTGGAAATCGATAAGACTTCATAATCGATTAAAGTTAAGTTCGATTAAATTAAGCGCAATAATAGTGACTCGTTGCACAAATCTAGTTCCATTATGCATTACAATTGTTTTAAAATTTGAATATTTTCACTGACACGATAAAAAAAATGTGTATTAATGCACAATTTTAATTGATTTATGTCTATAGTATTCGGTCAAAAGTCATGTGAATTTTTAAGCAAACTCAATCTTTGTGTTGCGAAATGTAAATAGCATTGTACATGAATACACAGCTAAATTGTTGCTTAGCGTCGTGGCTGAGAAAAAAACAAGTTTTTTCTACATTGTCTTATGTAATCTGCGACTAAAGACATCCGCAAGGGTCGTTTGTGATTGCGAAATTGTTGTCGCAACTTAATTGCTTCGTTCCTAACGTTTTGCTTCAAAGATTTTATTGCAAAAAAAATATATGTAGGCAAGTTAAGCCTTAAATAACACCCTGTTAGACCAAATTATACGAAAATTGATATTCAATGTGGCAGAACTTAATAAATATAACAGGTTATAGACAATCACATATCTTTGAAAATTAATAATTTCTATTATTCGATTATTTTTGCCTTTTATAATGCTAATAAATAAGTAAAGAACGAATTATGTTAAAAACGATTTTTTGTCAAAAGTTGATGTGATTTCAATTGTTTCCGCAATATAAAAAAAAGTATTCAAAAACTTTCAGGCAAGTTAGTACAAACTTTCAAAAGGTGAAGTCATAGAGAACAAAGAGAGAATTTATTATAAATGTCAGAACTATTTACGTCAATAAAAATTGATTACGACCATCAATAAGCAGTGAAAGTGCCGACAGGTAACAAGAAGAGATTTGAAATACAATTGGAGATGTAGAACAAAGACTTTAACATGTTACTTAATAACAAATAGACGCGTCTTCTTACATAATCTAACATATGCATGACAGTTTCACACTCCAGTATGTATTAATACATAATGCAATATGTACTGAACTTATCTATTTTATGTAAGTTCCTGAGTCCTAAGCCATAAGATGTTAGATAATTCTTAGTATAAATCTAATATCTCTTTTAAGTATTACATAAAAAGGATCACGGAAATCCAAATTATAGACAAATTTTACAAAATTTCACTGTTTCTTTCATAAACTGTTACTTAATTTAATATCCTTCAGTAGCAATTCTTAGTACGTTGTATACCTTTATAATTTCAATAAAAAAATATCTTATATGCATCTTGTGTTCACAAAACCGTTTTACTGCTAACCCCTACTTAGTAGGTACTTAACTTCAACTTAAAGTAACATTTTCAGATCCCTCGAAACAATAGGATTACTATTCACTTATTGCAGCAACAAATTACCAGCGTTTCATTCATACTACACTTCGCATTGCCTTGATAATTGTTGAATAGTATCGCTTACAGATCAATAAAGGTCACAACAAAGGTAACTGATATTCTACGTAACAAATGCACCAATTATTGTAACCTTCTAATTTTCCTAAATTCATACTAGGTAGCATCAAAAGAGGTCTGCGCTTGCACAACATTTGTACAGATTCAAGGTGAACTGGTCGAGTGTCTCGCAACGCGACCCGATACTACTTTATAATTCTCAACTAAAAATCCTCACAAATATAAACAAGACCACAACTATTACATAACTCGCCGGATAAACAGATGTAACCACAACTATTTTTAGTCATATGAGGAACTAAACTTTGATATTACAAGATAATCAACATAGATTATAAAAGCCTATGTATTACCTAGTCCTACGACCCGCGTATACTTCTACATAAAGAATGTCCCTCAATAATGTTAACTATAAAGTTATGATACAGAATTCTAAACCTCACTATTCATGCAGTTTTGGTTTATAAAATGTTCTAGGTAATGACTCACTATTGCATTCTAACAGATAGCATGGTCATTGAATGTTTTAAAAATATTGCTAGATGTCCATTGAATAGAACATAACCTAATCAAATTCATAGGAATTCACAGTTTTAATTTAGTTAACATTATAAAAACAATTGAAAAAGCCACAACCATTAACGAATTTATTCACTTAGAACAGGTGAATTATGCTATTTGGTTAATGTTTTTAAAATACAATTGCTCCAGTCTTGCGATGAGTGTGCGTGTTGAAGGCTAATTTTAATCCCTTTCCCTTTCCACCCTTATAAAGAAAGAATGAGAAGGGAAAGTGTTTTTGACGGTGGAGGAGAGGCATAGGAAAGGTAAATATCCTCTTAAAGTGCGTCTCATTATTTGTCGAAGGGTAAGCAATGCGTCTGCAATTGCGTGTCTATGGGCAGCTTCACCATTTTGGTGGATTCAGATGCTTGTTTGCTACCTTATGATATAAAAACGTACAGTAGGTCAATAATACTAGTCTATTAAAACAAAACTAAAGATTTTAATTCAAAGCACATCGAACACATTCCCACAAAGACGACCTACTCTGAATATTAAATGTTTAGTTTAAATTTAAGGTCAACAAACTATGCGGTACAAACACGTTTGGACACTTATCGCTTGTTAAAATGATTACCATTTATATTTCTAATTTCCTTTGAAGTTAAATATTTTTATGTACATACCAATTAAACGGCTTAGAAGTATATATCAATACAATTTTTGTCATGTGTGGCATAAAAATTCTGTTTTGCAATGACATTTTTATCTTTAAAAATGTCTAGTACATGAGCATAAAATTGATACATATTTTCATGAAAATCTTTTTATCATCTTTTTTAGCTTTCTCGAGCTAAATTTTACTCGTAAATAGTTATTTTATTTGACTTTCTAAAAGCTATATTTACGTGTACAATAAAACTTAGTGAAAGTATATAATTTACTTTACTTAAGTATAATGTAGCATAATATAACATTTATTAAAGTGTGCAAGAGTAGTAAGTGCGCTATTAAAAAGCACTAAGTGAACAATTACAATTCAAATTAACTCTGTTCACGTATGAACTGTTTTCATTCCATATTTTTCTTTTTAATAAGTTAGTAAAAAAAATAATGATATCGTAACATCTTTTAAAAATTAAATATTTTTTTTAGCAAGGGAAACTATAAATGAGGTTATTGTATGAACATATGAAGATTACATACATATCTGGGAGTTTTAATGACCTCTTTATTGTACCAAAATAGATGAAGTAGAAAAAGGAAACACAGAATTACCACATGCGTTATTTTCGTTGGGAACCGCCATACAGTTTGCATGGCAACAAATAAGGCGCTTAACTTCGCTAAGACAGTGAACGTTGCTTCTAGAGAAATTAAAGTACTTACCGCAATGAGGCCATCGTTTCCATAGCTCCTGCCTTCCAGCGCCAGTTCCTTATCCAGCATAGCATCCAGCTGCTCTAGCTGGTGGCAGGAGGCGCGAGCAGCCACCCAGCTTGACGCCAAGATAAACGAGCCAAGGATAAAGGACGACACGATGATCGTCACCGCAGCGATCCGCGCTATTTGTACAGATGATGACACTCTTTGACGATACGCCTACAAAGAAATAAAATAATTAAAAAAAGCTTCAGAATTATCTACTCGCTTTTCCAAATGAAGACCTTAACATTATAAAGCGAAAACCTTTTTTACCACGAAAAACCCAATGAATTAAAAACCAATATGTGAAGTTACATTTACAAGTTTGGTTCTTGATTACAGCTTATAGTCAACAAATCCCTTCTTTTTACAAGAGGTTCCTTAATTGTATAATACTACTTCTAATATTCCAATATCCACAAGTTGGACAATTGTTCACGGACAGTGTTGTCGCTTTTTATCAAGATAATCCTTTATAAAATATAGTACAATTTGTACTTGTACATCAAATGCAAATGGCTTGTACATTAGTATTGGCGGGCCGTATGCCGCTTGGCATCGTACAGTAACGTTCACTTTATAGCCGCATGAGCGGATCTGTTTGAATCAAACCCACAACGCCATACTCGATACATCGGCCTTGGGCCACTAAGAAAACATCTCCGTTAAAACATATATATTGAACAAACTAATATGTATTTAAAACATAAGCGCAAGCAAAAGCAATATTCACATATAACTAATATGGTATAGAAATGGAAAATTCCATGACACATGAGGAAGAATAAAATGTTGTTGTCTGACGGTAATTTACTTAGCGAAAAAGCGCAAAACGACTCACGAACTCTACTCTTAACGCTGTGATTCTAAATGCGTTTTATAATTTTGAATTTTTTTTAATCAGTATTATGTCCTTTCATTTCTAAAATATTTGAATGCGATTATAAGTTCCTTAACTTACTGCGTCTTTAAAACTACCTTCATTGTTTTATATTCCATTAAAGTACTTCTCTTTCTAATTTCCGGATTTGAAGTAATACGTGCGTATTGTGGAAGTTATATTTAGACACGGATCAACGGACTCTGTTACGACGATGAAGGTATATTGGAAAAACAAATTACGAAGGCACAAATTGATATCGTCATGCTCGCGAAAGATTTCGCTGGTTTTCGAATGCAATCTTAAAAGTACTTTCACCGGAAAGATGGCGCCGGCGGAGCAGCGATCCGACTCATTTATGTAATCCTGTGATACTTGTTCGACGTTAAATCATTTTAGCGATAATAATTATGGAGAATAAAATCACGCAATATAAACAAAATCTTTTGTGATTCCTAAATAATGTAATCTCGTTTCGCATGGCTAAAGAGGAAAGAGAAAAAAATGATTACAGCCAGTAAGATTTCGACATCATCTCTGATGGTATGGAGACGTAAAAGACCTCGCCCAATTACTCGAGTTACATGACCATTAACGAACTACGACGACATTATTAACGAAGACTTTAAGATATTTAGTAAAATATTGAGCATTTTAATTTTGTTAATATAGCAGTCCTTCAGATTATTTATTTAAACGGTATAAAAGAACTATCATGTATATTGGAACAAAGGTTTAGTAACGAAAAAAGATAGCTTAGAACAGATATTTTATAATCATCATAAGGTACAGTTGTGTTTTCATAATTTTATTACAATAACGTTATTATTCTTATTGCTAAATATGGCCATGGAATGTAATTTAAGGCCTTTAAATTAAAAACAAAGATATTGTCTAATGTTAAATAGAAGTACAATATTTTTAAGCTTGCGCTCAATAAAACATAGTGAAAAATACCAGGAAACTATGAAATAAAGTAAAGGTAACGTAACTGAAGTAGTCCTTTTGTTTTGAATTTTAATTTTGTAGGGAAATGCCTATAGTCGTCTTTAATAGAACTGCCATAAAAGCATTACCTTTACCGGAGTCGGGTTTGTCGGAGTAAAAAAACTTACTAGTATTATAGAAGTTGTAGACGTTAATCGTTTAATAATAACTACATAATTTCTAATAAGTAGGTTAATGCGAATTACAAAAGAAAGTACATGCATTAAAGGCTTTCACTGCAACAAATTAACTAATGTGAACAAACACTAAAACTGTAATCATACTAATATTACAAATATGAAAGTTTCGATGGACTGATGTTTGTTTGTTAGAGTTTGTAGCCTTAACGGTTGAACAGATTTCGATGAAATTTGGCATAGATGTAGATGATAGTCTGAAATAATACATAGGTTTTTTGATACCACGCGGACGGATTCGCAGGCAAAAGTTAGTATGTTATGAATAATCATTTAACATTGAATAGTAAGTTTCTGAATTCAAGTTTTTATTCTATTATATAGACGATATCATTGGCCAACCATATTTTTTAATTTCTCACCATGCTATATCACAATTTTCACAAATTCAGAATATTTCTAGAAAACAAAAGTTTAATAAACGCCTAAGTATGTTATTACCTTTGTTCCTTTTTAAAGTTAAGGTCGATAACATTATCCAAGACTACAGAAAAATAGGCTATTCCGTATTTTAAGAGATGTTTGACATGACGTAATGAATGTTACATGAATATTACTGGGAGCCCACGCGGTACGGAAGAGCTCGCTTGTGGAACCACTCTAACGGTCGCCTAGGTAATTAAAACAAAATCAAATGAACAACTGCACCAGCATATTTAAAAAAGAATATAACTGTTAATTCGAAGTAAGAAAAGGTTACAACTTTTAAATGCTTTGTAATGAGTTAGAATTTATTATCAACTACCTTAATGATTTAAAAAAATATATTTAAGTATCTATCATGAAACAAAACAAAGTGTTGTAAATAAAAAAAACGTGTTCCGATTTCGAAATATGCACGTTGACTTATTGATAAAATGAACACGGGTAGGAATATATAAAAGGCGATGAGCAAGTATAGGGAGAACGTGGTCGCATCATATTGTAATGTTGATAAAAATGCATCGCAACGCTTTGCATCATCACTTTATACTATTATCATTAAACATAAGTCAAAAAGACAAAGAAAATCCTTTAAGATTCTTACAATAAAAAGCATTGTGTGATAACAAATAGAAACGATACGACTTCGTGTACGTGGTATTTATTGAAACATACCAACGCTTGTATTTTAAATAAAACAAAATATGAGCGAGCTTCTCACCTTATAACCTACAATTCTTTTGAACCATTTAAGTAAATTTTTAGGTATACCACTATAGACAGAATCCACAAACTGTTCTAAAACGATCTAGAACATTTCGAAACCGCAATTCACTCTTGAATGGTTCTCTTACATAAAACTTATTTGGCTCAATTATGTAACTCAGAACCATAAACAACTCTACTCGTTCGGTGAACTAATTTACAAAATTAAATATTGATATTATTTATTTACTTGGACCGATCTATGCCTGTATGTAAGTACATTTAGATTTAATTTAATACTAGTTTACGTCCGCGGCTCCATCTGCTTGAAATTGAAAAAAAAAAACAAAAGTAGGTTCGTATTCTTCCAGACTATGTTCTTCATCTATGTCAAATTAGATCGGGATCCTTTAGCCGTTTATACCAAAAACTATAAGAAACATCTATCCATCCATCCAATCTTTCGCATTTATAATATTAGTAATATGTGCTACAACAATAATTAGCAAATTTGTCAATTTCTTGCTATCGTGTTACATACTTGCATATTGTGTTATTTATTTAATTTCCCTATGCAAATCTAACAAAAATCAAGTGTGTGTCTGAAGCTGAAGTATATTTTGAACATTATAATAGAGTCGTAAATGTCTTTGTAAACAATAAGTTTTTTATGAAGTCACTAAAAGTGGTAGGATATGACGCAAACGCCATTGTTATGTCCACCGCGGCGGCTGGTCGGTACCTAGTATAACGATTTCACTCCGTTGCGACGTTTACAATGCCGGGTTTTTCCTTCTGTTGACGGACAAAAAAAACAACCAACGAAGGAAATAAAATCGCTAAATACAGATTATCATGCAACTTGTATTTAAATAATAATGGTGTTTTGTAAAAATATTGCAAAAATATTTTACTGTCTTGATATATTTTTAAATTTAACTATAAGTAATAATGATTCCACTATCTAATTATTCATAATTTGATCATCGAATTAGCACTAGTCTATATAACATTTTAGTTAATCAACTTTTATTTTAATAATTTTAATACGATTTTCTTCTTTAAAAGGCATTTGCACAGTAACAATTTGACCAGTTACATTTCCAATTAGAAAATACATCATTAATAAAAAAAAAACAATAAAAACAGCAATTTTTAAAAATTTTTAATGTTACTAATAAGCGTGACGTTAAATGAAACCATAAATCTTTTCCTCTAACTTGAAAGATGTAGATTACTTGTTTCGACAGGAAAGTTACCCAGAGATTATTTAATAAAAGTTTAACTTAATCCTTACCCTTATTTTTATCGATTACTTAAAATAGTAAGTACCTATGAAATAAAATGTTTGAATGCAAAAAGTAAAGAGCAGGATACTGAAGACGACATTACGAAAAGACACTATTTGAAATAAAAGACCGATTCGCAGAGATGCTTCTATACTGAGAAATAGTCTCCTGAATACATTATTTAATAGAAAAGAATTCAACGCATTAGTAAGCACCTATTCTATACAAGCACAATTTAAAAACTTGATCCATTTAACATACATCTTTTATTTTTTGCAGAGTTGTCTCGTGACTACCTCTAATTATGTAATAGATGCTCGAATATAATAATAAATGGACAACTACAATAGAACAATGAAATCTCACATTAATCGGCATATAGAATCGGCTTATAGAACTCGCTTTGTGGTTCTCACAAATTATTGCACCAAATCTCTACAGATTAATCGATAAAATGCAACCTTCTTTATACCAACTTTCAGCTTTTGTTATTTACTTTTATACACAAAAATTACATATCTATTTAGACAAAAGTTGTTTGTAATACATGGCGTAGATTGATGCCAAAAAGATTTCAGAATTTAAAAAGCGGAAACCCCTATATAAAACAAAGAATAACGAAACTATAATTCGGTAATATCCCTAAGCCATAGTTTACAAACAGGCGGCGCGTCGCATGCGTCACCGACACCCGGCACCGGCGCGCGCCGGCACAGGCCCATCAGAGAGAAAGGCGCTTTCCCGCAACCTCGCTCATAAACCGGCATTATTTATTAACTAACCCATTATCTAGCTTTACTATTACAAACAAAAACTAGCTCGTGACACTTTTTTAAATAAGTTTTGACTGTAATCAAATATAGATTTATGTTGGATATATTAAATCATTGTTTAGTTGGAACAAATTATGGTATAGTTCTTAAGGTAGGATTACAAGTTCTATCCATTTTTTAAAAATAGTATGAACAGATGACATAAA